AGAACTCTAATGCTTTCTGTAAGCATGGTACTCTGGTGGCAGAGGCCTGAACAGCTTTACCTTCTCTGCCCCTTTAAACTGTTGAGACAATAAAATAATCCATGTAAAAATGTCTAGCACATGAGAAATGCTATGTTGGACATTATTCACCATTAGCAACTTCTGCCATCTCATTCTGAATGTCCAGTACCTACTGTTCTTCCAAGTCATTCTGGATTCAACTACATTCTTTACATTAAGTAATAGTCATTCCAGCACTCTCCTCATTCAGATGCTGAGAACATCAGAACCCTAACCTAGTTCAGAATGTCAGCTGTCACTATTCGGATTTTTATACTGAGATTATGTATTTCAGAAGCCACAAATCACTTACCCTGCATTCTTCTAACAGACCTAATGATGTAGGCCATCTACCATTCAGGTAGATAGCAGAAACGTCCAAGTGCTTCCAAGAGGTGCCTTCAACAAATGCTCCCATGAAGTATGTCACCTATCCACATTTCTGGCCCTATTTTTAAAATCCTGGCTCCTGGGGCACCTGGCCTGCTCAGTCAGAAGAGCATGTGACTCATGATCTTGGGGTTGTTTGAGCCCTATGCGGGGTGTAAAGCTTAAATAAACTTAAAAAAAAATAAAATCTTGGCTTCTGATTTCTGGAGTAGGGTTATTTTTCCTAGGATGTGAGGTGAAGTTGCAAACACCCAAAGGCCTGTAACACATCAAGATTGTTTTTTTAAAGTAATCTCTGTACTCAACATTGGGCTCAAACTTACAACCCCAAGATCATAAGTCACATGCTCTGCCCACTAAGCCAGCCAGGCGCCCCACCCAATGTGGGGCTTAAACTCCTGCCTTGAAATCAGGAATTGCATGCTTACAGACTGAGCCAGCCAAAAGCCCCTCAATCTTGTTTTAAAGATATCCAGGGGCACCTGGGTGGCTCAGTCAGTTAAGCATCTGCCTTCAGCTCAGGTCATGATTCCAGGGTCCTGGGATCGAGTCCCGCATTGGGCTCCCCGCTCAGCGGGGAGTCTGCTTCTCCCTCTCCCTCTGCTGCTCCCCCTGCTTGCGCTCTCTCTCCCTCTGACAAATAAAATCTTAAAGAAAACATAAAGATATCCAAAGCTAAGGGCAAAATATGCTGTAGTAGCACCAAAGAGGGTATAATCATATCTATCACCTTGACCTCTTCCAAGTCATGAGAGGTATCGCACTGCCACCCCAAAGATCTTAATTCATGTTTGAATGTGCCAGCCCTTTACAACCAACTCCAGTGTGGTCACAGGGAGGTAGTAGTGCCCTGGGGTTTGTTTGTCTTTGTGGTCTTTTAGTCACAGATCATTGAAAGCATTAAAATAAAAATGGTAGTTTTATGTGTAACAAAGTAGAGATTAATCATCCTTCTTTTGCATGATTCTGGGAAACAAAGTATGCTTAAGACCAGATTATATAGCTTCTCCCCCAACTCCTCTGGTCTGCTGCATTCAACACACCTCCCAGACCCTCACTACTGCTGGCAAGGTACTTGAAAGGAAAGCTGGACCCAACACAGGAAAGGCTTTTTCTACACATTTTACATCTGGTATATTTCACTGTACCTCATAACCTGGCTTTTTTCCTGAGACATATCTGGACACTCCTGACATTGGAGTCAGGAGGCCTCCCCTTGACAAGGCTGACAAACCCTACCAACCACTGCCCCTGCCCCCTAGTACTATGCCGTGCTAAAGCAGTTCTGGATCTACTGCAAAAGCTTAAACCAAATTAGACCACTCAATCTCCTTACAGCTCAGAAGGTATGCTAAGCCTTGAGGTAGAGGCACTCAATGGTGTTTGTCATTTCTAATAGCTTTCATTGAACCTTTCACTTTGGTCTTCGTTGTGACTCCACAGCAAGCACTCTTTAATTCCCTTTTCTGTCAATTCTGGTCTTTGACTTCCACCAATGGGCCCTGGACTTGCTGGCAGCTACAGCTTACTGTTACACTAGGAAATGTCTGCTAATCATCTTTGAAGAACGTAACTGGTACTGTCCATGGAAGCCTAAATGGACTGTCCCAATGACAATACTCTGGATGTTAAGGCTATCTCCAGAGATTGCCAAGGGGTCTGAGTAGCAATATGAGCCACATGTTGCATTATTGTAGCCTTTTAGGGATAGAAAACTCAACAGCCCATCTACTTATCCCAAACCTGTTGAGGACACAAACTACTTAAACAATTAAACTTCAGCCACGAGATCTAGAGAACTGATGGGTACCAGAGGGGAGCTGGGTGGGGGGGGGATGGGTGAAATAGGTGAAGGGGATTGAAGAGTACACTTATTGTGAGGAGCACTGAATAATGTACAGAATTGATGAATCACTGAATTGTACACCTGAAACTAAAACAACACTATATGTTAACTATACTGGAATTAAATCAAAACCTTCAGCCATGAGAATTTGTGTTTTGCCTTAAAAGAAAAAGAAGACATGGCCTTTTCCCCAGCATTTACTATCTATCTCTTTTACCCTCTGGGAGGATTCTGGTCCAGGTATGACGGGAATCACACATCTAGGGTTTTCTGCTCAGTCCACTTAGTCTTAGTTATCACTGATCTTTGCGAGTTCAACTTTTAAACAAATTTGTATAAATACCCATAATCCGTATTTTCTTTCCCTCAAATTTATACACCAGCTGATAAACACTAACATATTTACAGGATAGCACTAGGACTGCAACAGTGCCATTTCAGCAACATCCCATTTTTGTCTAGATGGCAGTACCTGTATAAATATACAGAATAAAAAGGAGAAATAAAATGTACTTATAAGCCCCGGACATAGGCTTAAACTAAAATTGAAAAAGTATGGAGACCATCAAGAATGCCCGAAATAATACATCCACAACCTTCATAAAATAAACATACAACTGTGAAGGGAAAAAACCCAAGTTAAAAAGAAAAGTTTACAAAAACCAGAAATATGTCAAAGAATGTGAGAACAGATGAAGGCTTAAAAAAAAAAAAAGTTGCAGCTCATGGGAAGAGAATCCACTACAAAGCGAACATGCCCATCACTAAAGCCCATTTCTAGGAACATATTATGGCTTTTTGAAAAGTAAGGGACTGCACAGTATACAGGATAAAACTGTTGAAACAAAGAGTCACATGGTATATTTTAATTATTCACCAAAACCTAAAACCACCACCAATCACCACAAAAGCCAATTTTCCTAAATTTGTAGCTGGGATACTGAGCAGTGATTCTTCAATCTAAATGTAAATTAAAATCACTTGGGAAACTTAAAAATACCTATGCCTGGATATGCCTCCAATTTAAATCGGAATCTCTGTGGGCATCAAGGCTAAGAACCACAGAAATAACCAGCCTTATCGTACTTATCTAAAGCTAAGTCTTTCTGAAAAATAATACTAACTATACTTGCATTTAAAACGTATCTACTGCAACCAAGAAAAGGAAAAAAGTCACCTGTTTGCTAAAAATATTCCATCTAAGAAATGAGCACACCATTTTACCATTTCATTTTACCCTTCAAAGTTCCAAAGCAAATTTCTACAAGTCATTGGTATAGAAATCTCAAAGCACTCATTTTTAGTTGACAAGTCTTTGATTTTTTTAAAAAGTTTATTATAAAAATTCTTTTAATCTGTTACTGATTGAGAAATCAGCAACAAAATTATATATTTTTAAAGGGAAATTACTATACTTACCAAAGCATTTTTTTAAACCCACTTCATAATCAGGTAGGTTACTAACACTTTGTATTGTAGTTTAGAACGCTAAAACCCAGTCATTCTGTACAATTAGAAACTTAAATTCTGGAAACCATTCTAAACCCAAGCCATTTCAGCCACAAGCCCTTTTCTCCTAACCACTAGAATTAGAAAATCTGTACACCTGGAAGATAGTACCACATGTTGATTAGAAAACGGGCATTCCTTCGAAGTCAGTTCTGTTACCACAGGACCTGAAAACAGCTGCTTGGTATCTAGATCACTTGGACCCTGGGTTAAAGCTCCTGCACACCAGATACATTATTTGTGCAAAGAGGAAGGGCATTAAGTGAGAAAGCAAAAACACAGATAGATGTATTTCTTGTGAAAGCATAAAATAAAATGGAATGGAGACATGTAGAAAAACAGGGCTTTTTGCTTTGAACCATCAACTCCACAAGCCACCAAAAATACTGTCAATTAGATCAGAGGAGAGATAAAAAGAAACTAGACCATTTTTTTTAACATAGTGTGTATGTCAGTTATTTTCCTAAAACATCTTAGATGAGAGAACTTCCTTATCAGTTCCAAATTCAACACAATACAAAGCAAAGGAACTTTTATTACTACATTCACACAAGTAATGATTAAGTGCCCTGAAATTTACCCTGATAGCTGAAGATTACCATTAGTTTCCACAGAAGACCTAATCCTATTCAAAGGAAAAAGGGTGGGGAAAACTCATTAAGTGCTTAGCACTGCCACTTCATTTCAAATGCCGTTTGTTTTTGTCCTTGGGTGAACGTATGTAACACCAAACCGTGATCTAGCAATAGTTTACTATTTGGTTTAACTAGTAGCACTTAAAGAGCTTAATACAGGATAATACTTTAACAGCCTTTTTATCTGAGACAAAGTTAACTCTAAAATAACATGACAAGCAATGTACAAAATCTGTCCATCATTTTTTTTGTCCATCTAACATACACAGCAATGAGATTTATAACCAGAAACTGCACTGAGAAGTAGACACATTAGTTTGTCAAGCTCTACCTGAAAACATGATGTTTTATTAAAACAAAAACCAAAACACTTAAATCTCAAGTTCTATAGTTTTACAGTCCAGTCTTACTGAAGTTGCACAGATTTCCTTTCTTGCAGACAAGGTAATATGCAGGAAGAACCCACGAAGAGCACGCTGGCTATCTAACAAATTGTACTATCTGGATTACAAATAAGTCTTGAAAATCTTCTGAAGAATGTCAAGGAGTTACCAGAGAGATTATATAGTGACCTTGATTTTTATTTTTCTTTACCTAGAATTCTACAAATTCTAAAATTTATCAATTGATGTATATCTTTTAAATAAACAGCACCAGTCTTGCCCATTGATACAATTAAAATTTGACTTGTTCTCAGTTCTTAGTTCACAAGTTTATTATGAAAAACACTGCAGTGCTCTTGTGCAGTAACATCGTCTTATAGGAGGGGGAAAAAAAACAGTTCTGTTCAAAACAACTCACCAGGTTCTGACAATAACAAAGAACAACATGAGGCTGAGATTTGAGAAGGGAAATAAACTGAGTGCAGACAAATCATACAATTAAATTAAACGGTATCCCTGAAAATAAACAAAACGATTTCAAAACTCACAAGTAGAGGGGAGGCCTTGGTACTTATTTTTAAAAATGTTCATTAAGCTCCAATGATTGTTTGCTGCTATCCTTACCTACAGTCATGCTGAGTAAAGCTATATAGCTAAATGGAAGTTAAACTGTACTCACGAGGTGTTAATGTTACATCGTATTATCTGCAGTCTCTCAGAGAAAGCAAAAGTAACTACAAATAGCGCTATGCCAGAAACTGGTTTCTTGACCAACAATGTCGCTTCAGCATGCAATGAACTGGTTCATTCTAAAGTGGTCACGGCTGTTGATGACAAGAGGCTTTGTATTTTTATATGGCACATCTTTTGGTCCGTGTGAAAACAAGTTTTTTGAATGTTAACTATTCTCTGACACTTTGGAGTTACTGTTGCTCTTCCCATTTCCATTAGGTCAATATATGGTTCATGGCAATACTGTACAAGTTTAAAATTTCATTACAGAAAGTAGTCTGGGGTACGACGAGTAACATGTGGCTCGCCTCTGCGAGGCGCTGGGTCAAACTGCAAGCTGAAAAACAAAACATATTTGTTGTTTATACTCCCATGTATCAATGTACTGACAAGAACATTATTCTTCCTATACAATTTCAGTTTGTCTTTAATGGAACAGAATCCTAATTGTAGACTAATCATCCATTTAATAAGAGTCTTCTAGCTGTGTGTCTCCTCAAAGAGCCAAGGCAAACTTCAGAGAATTTTTTTTTAAGACAGAATTTTTATACATCAGGATTCCTTCTAAGATTTTTTGAAAGAAGGGTTCTACTAAATAAATAAAACTTAAAGAGCCTAATGTACTTGTATTTGTAATCTCAACCTCAGGATATATTTTATTAACCCCACAATAAAAACATGTGTTTAAAAGTTAAAATCCTAATAATTCACATTGGAGCCTATATAGGACAAGTTTCTATTGATGAGTTTCAACATATCCTAAGTCCGTTCAAAAGGAAACACAGGGGCGCCTGGGTGGTTCAGTCGGTTAAGCGTCTAACTCTTGGTTTCAGCTCAGGTCATGATCTCTGGGTCATGAAACAGCCCCACACTGGGCTCTGTGCTCAGTGCAGAGTCTGCGTGAGATTCTCTCCCTCTCCCCCCCTCCCTGTACTCGCGCGCTCTCTCTCAAAATAAATCAAATCTAAAAAAAAAAAAGGGAACATAAAAATCAAATTGGAATCTGGATTTAGCATGAGCCCTTCAACTCTTAAACCTCCCATTCCAACTATACAGTGTAACTCAACTGTAATGGCAGCCAACTAGTTAGGTGTAAATACTTACAAAGAATATTTTAGAGTATCATCAAGTTCCATGATCGCAGCTTGATTACCACAACGATAACAATAGTTTGGAGCACTGAAAATCGTTACTACATTCCGGTCATGGCACCAGTTATATCCCTACAAGAAAAAAAAAGGTGATAAAAATCTATTTTACTCCCTTATCCACACAACTAGACTCAAAAAGAAAAAAAGCCCCTTCCAAAAAGCTTTTTTTAAAGCTATAATGTTTTATTTCTGGATATTTTAATAATTTTCTGTACTCTGTGCAACTTAAAAAAAAACATGAATTTTTCCTGAATTAGAAAACTAGATTATAAATAGAAAAGACACTAAAAAACAGCACCAATCACCAGAGAATAAAGTGCTTCTTCTACATCTGGCTTTCTGTGAATAGCAGTATCTCATCAGCTTCCCACCGCAGTGGCCCTAAACATGATCCAAGAATGAGTACATGGCCATTCCTTGTAGAGGCAGATAACATACTTAAGACCAAACCATATTAATTCTCTCAGTTAGAGGTGAAGGTCCCTGCCCAGGTACAAAGAAAATAGGCCTCTAGGATCTCCAGCCTCATTTTGTCAAAGTCCATGTGAATACACGAGTTACTTTTTAAGTATTGTACACAAATATTGTTCCCTGTCTTTAGCAAAGTCATACTTTTATAATAATCAGTTATTAATATTAATGTAAACAGGACCCTAATTCTAAGTATGCCTATCAATGTCCCATTTCCCTTTTAGTTTCTTCTTTAAAATTACCTATTATCCTACCATCCAAAGGACCACTGAAACATTTTAGTATTTCACCTCAATCTCTCCTCCATAAACATACATGTTAAACACATGAAATAAACAAAACTGAGATAAAAATGTATATATTGCCTCCTCCCCTGTTCCCTGCACCTTACTTTCCCAGGCTTAAATCCCAAGCACTATCCAGTCATTAAGAATTCTCTGGAAATATGTCAACTACGAAACTCATTGTGAGATCAAAAAATGAGATTTTAATTCTAGTGTGCATCTACTGTAAAGGCTCAGGCTACAACAGCAAATTCATTGGAAGGGGTACATGGAGTGTCCTCATTAATATCATTAATTAGCACCCCACCACCACCAAAAAACCCCTCCCTAATATCTTCCTTCATTATGTTTACTTAAAAAGCAAATCAGATTTCAGAGAAGAGAACATACCTCCATCACCAGCTGGTGAGCTCTGGACACCAATGTGAGGCCATTGGCATGATTAAATGTTTCGGAAATGTCTTGCCCAAAGGTATAACCAGCTCCTCGAGGAGATATACCCCAACCACCACGATCATCTGGATCTGACCACAGCAAGTCACACATTGGACCCTAAAAAGGAAGGTAAGTTTTAAATTGCCTCTTGCAAAAAATGATTTGAGTAATTCATCAGAGGGAACACCCTATGAAGTCACACTTTGAATGGTATTTGCTGAACAGTTTAAGGTTTTGCTTTAAAGTATCTCTGTCAAATAAATAAACTATTTCCCAATGTTTTTAAGAGGCATATCCTACATCAATGAGCCCCAAGAGCAAAAAGCCCTATAGTATGCAAATTTCCATGTCAGACAGTATTGACAAGTAATTAAGGCAACAACCGAGATTCTAAGGCCTACTCCCAAAGGTGTTGTGATCTTGACAGGTTTCTTACTATTAGCTTCTAAAGAAAGAGGTTATTGACAAGAGTGTTCATACCACATGGGGTCATTTTTGAACATTAAAGGAGAGAACACACATAAGGAAGTTACAGTAAAATTTAAAAAAAAAAAAATTTTCTGAAAAGATTTTATTACCAAATAAAAGTCAGTAACTCATTAGAAAAAAAAAAAAAGGCAATACCTCATGAGGAACTTCTTGTAGGCGATCAAGTGCTCTGATGTGATCCAGTGTATCTATGGATGGTGAGAGGCCACCATGTAGACAGAATATCTGGAAAGAATGGTTTATAATGTTAACATCACATAGAAGAAACTTTAAACATTCTGGACTAAGCTGCAGGCAGCAGCCCGTATCACTTGGTGTGACTACTGTTTCTGTATTCTGCCAGAACCAGGCTTGTCTCTGCAGAGGCTTTCTTCCAGCCCACTCTAACCTAGTGAATACACTCCCTTTCTTCCAGATAAATCATTGCTACTGCACCCAGAAAACATTTCTCTGACCTTAACCTCAGCACAGACTATCCATTCTTCTCATAGGACTTTTTGCTATATCTTCTGTGCACTCCTCTATGTGGACAATAAATAGCTAATTACATCTCCAAGACTTGTCCAGAAACAACCTGAGAGGATGAATGGGCTATATCTTCCATCCCTGTGGTCCCAACATACAGTTCAGTGCTTGATACAAAGAAGGCACTTCAGAAGTCTAGAAGGGATGTGTGGGTGGAAAAATGACTGGCACCTAAACATTAAGAAAGCAGATTCATGAAAATAACCAGCAATGTTAAGTTTTAGGAAGACCTACATACCTGCCCATCCACCAAGGCAGTGAGAGGAAGATAGTCAAAAAGATCTGTAAAATATTTCCAAACATTTGCATTTCCGTATTTCCTTAAACATTCATCATAGAAACCATATACTTGTGTGATCTGTCTGCTCTCATGATTTCCTCGAAGAATGGTGATACGTTCACGGTAACGAACCTGAAACAACAAAACAGAAAACAGTATGAATACCTGGCTCCTTCAAAAACCAAATGACAATTCAGCAAACTTTCTACAGGAAAATTCAGAGTTCCAATTTTGGTGGGGGGAAAAAAAAAATCCCATCCCCCCACATCTACAGACATCTGTCCACGGAGTTATCAGCAAACCCTATCTCAACTACAAACTCCTGCTACTACCAATTTCACAAAGCATAATCATCAGCCATAGAACTCCATGGAATTTTTTTCTACAGTTAGATGACTTTTGGTAAATTTATAGGTATGCAATAACCATCACATTTATTTTAGAACCTTTCCATCTTCAGTCCAAAAATATCCCCCCTGGGCCGTCTCAACTCCTACTCCCAGCAACCACTGATTTGTCTTTTCTGTATTTCCTTAAATACTCATCACAGAAACTATATATTTGTGTGATCTGTATGCTGTCATGATTTCCTCTTTTGAGATCTTTTTGTAAAATTTCATATAAATGTAATAATACAAGATATAGTTTTTTGTGTGTCTGGCTTTATTCACTTAGAATATTTTTGAGGCTCATCTGTGTATTTATCAGTGGATCCTTATTTTACTTTTTATTGCTGCACAGTATCCCATTGTATGGCTATACCACACTTTTTTTCTTTATTCCCCAGTAGGAGGAACATCTGAATGGTTTACAGTTTTTGAGTATTATGAGAATGTTGCTATGATCATCTTGCCTGTAAGTTTTTTGTACATACAATACACTTTCATTTCTCTTGAGTATATTCCTAGTCCAATATAATTGCTGGGTATTAGTATGGGTGTAAGGTTCTAATCTCTCCATAAACTAACACTTGGTATTATCAGCCTTATTGATGATAGCCATTCTAATGGGTGTAACTCTGACTTTAATTTGTTATTTCCCTGATGTTTAATGATTTTGCCCATCTTTTCATGTGCTTATTGACTATTCATATTATCTTCTTGGGTGAAATACCTATTCAAGTATTTTGTCCATTTTTAATCTGTCTATAATTACTGAATTATAATAGGCTTTTTTTTTTAAAGATTTTATTTATTTGAGAGAGAGAGAGAGCGCACATGAGAGGGGGGAGGGTCAGAGGGAGAAGCAGACTCCCTGCTGAGCAGGGAGCCCGAAGCAGAACTCGATCCTGGGACTCCAGGATCATGACCTGAGCCGAAGGTAGCCGCTTAACCAACTGAGCCGCCCAGGGGCACAACAGGTTTATTATATGAACATAAATATTTTTTTCTTAGTGATATACTTTGAAGAACAAAAAGTCCTAATTTTTTTTAAGAAGATTTTATTTATTTGACAGAGACACAGCGAGAGAGGGAACACCAGCAGGGGGAGTGGGAGAGGGAGAAGCAGGCTTCCCGCTGAGCAGGGAGCCTGATGCGGGGCTTGATCCCAGGACCCTGGAACTATGACCTGAGCCGAAGGCAGATGCTTAACAACTGAGCCACCCAGGTGCCCACAAAAATCTTAATTTTGATGAAGTCCAATATAACAATCTTTTTAATGGACTGTGCTTTTCATTATCGTATCTTAGAAATCACTGCCTAACCCAGAGTTACAAATATTTTCTCCTATGCTTTATTCTAGAAGTTTCATAGCTTTAGCTCTTACATTTAGGCCCCTGATTGATTTTGACCCATTTGTATGGTATGAGGTATCTAAGTCCATTTTTTTGTATATAGATATCCAACTGTCCTAACACTACTTGCTTAAGTTTCCTTCCCCCAATGCCCCTGTACTAGTGTGCAAGGGCTGCCATAACAAAGTAGAACAAAAGGGCAGCTCAAAGAACAAAAATTAATTTCCTCACAGTTCTCGAGGCTGGAAGTCCAGATCAAAGTGAGAGCCGGGTTAGTTTCTTCTGAAGGCTGGTCTACTTGGCTAATAAAAGGTCATCTTCTCCACGTTTCTTACCATCTTCCCTCTGTATCTGTGTCCTAATGTCTTCTTACAAGGATACCAGTCATATTGAATTAGGGCTCACCCATATGACCTTATTTTACCTCAATTACCTCTTAAAGGCCCTATCACCAAATACAGCCACATTCTGAGGTACCGGGAGTTAAGACTTCAATGTACGAATGGGGGGGAGAGGTGTATGTGGCACAATTCAGCCCCAAAACCTTTAAATATAAATTCTTGAAGGCAGCATATTCATTCCTCTGCTAATAAGCACTGGGATCCATCCTGGGCTTTAAGCACAAATTAGCTTACAATGTTGTTTTCATAGTACCTAGAGAAACTTTCCATCACTTAATCCAACTGCTTCATTTTACAGATGCAGAGAACTTAGTATATCCTCCAAAAATGGTTTGTAGCATGTTACATGATTCAGGTTATAGCAGCTTCATGAGCATATACATTATATATTGCCTAAAATCCAGCTTTTCCCAAAACCACATCTTACCACTCTTGCAGTATTAGAGGTTTCTGGCAGCCGGTTTTATCATTGTGAACGTTCTTTAGTAAAATCTCCCCTAAAGGTAAAATCACACTTTCTTTCCAAGGAAAGGCAGAAGCCTGCCATTCCAAAAACTAGTGACCACTACTGTCTCATTTTCAGATCTTTGTACAATTCCCACAGCTCCAATTGGTATAAAGCAGCTTGCTTTATCATTCTTACTGTTCTAGATTGTCAAGTTTTATTGGCTGCCAACTATTCCACAGAGAGAAATCATAATTTAGATATTCACTTTTGTTGGATATCTAGACCAATTCCTTTTCTAGTATTAAACAAAATGCTGAAATTAAATGTTTTCACACAAAGCTCTTTTCCTCTTGAATTTCTTCTTCAGTAAAAGTCTAATTATAGGATTACTGTGTCAAAAGATGTAAACATCCTGACGTTTAGTATCTTTAATTTCAAAAGCATCTAGAAAGGTAGTTATACTACCTCCCCACACCCTAATTAACTGAAGAAGTATTTTTATTTGACTGGCTTTCTAACATTTTTCAAATAACCTGAATGAGAATAACCTTTTTACTTTTATTCTATACCATCCCCTTATTCAGAATGAAGACAGACGTATGATTTATAAGTCCCAAACCTGAATACCTGCATTCCTAAATATGGAACATTCAGAGAAAATCACAAATCACTGGGGAAGAAAAAGAACAAAATTGTCTCACCCAGTACAAAATGCCCCCAAACAAAATTGAAATTACCTTAAGAGCTACAAGCAGAGTAACTGTTTCAACTGAATAATATCCTCTGTCAACATAATCTCCCATAAACAAGTAGTTTGTATCTGGTGATTTGCCACCAATTCTAAACAGTTCCATGAGATCATGAAATTGCCCATGTACATCTCCACAGACGGTGACTGGACATCGAACCTCTTGCACATTGGATTCTTTTGTCAGGATTTCTTTAGCCTACAGATGGAGATAAAATAAACCAATACATTTAGCATTAAACAACATTAACAAAGATAAACTTAAACTTAATGCAGCTTAAAGAACAGACTTGGTGTAAGATGAAATTGTAGGCACTGATAATGCCATTAAAGAGGGCAAGATATGGCCAGATTCCATCTATTGGTTATCTCACTCCTGATACTTAGAAAAAGCATGTATCAAGATGCATAGTTCCATTCCTCTCATCACTATCAGTTTTTAGGCCTATCAGTTACCATCTAACTAAATGCTAAATAGTTTATTACTAGCAGCCATATAAGATTAATGAAAATGGAACAAGACATTCAGATACCTAGTTCCTTAGCTTTAAAGTTCTAATATGCTTTATGGACTCCAGGATATGAAGAAAGGTTTCTAATTCCCACTTAACTGTTTTTTGGGGTGGGGGTGGGGGGGGAAACAATACATTAAAATTTCACCTGTATTTTTACACTCTTAATACTAAAAATACAAACTGTTGTTTTACAACTGTAACTATTCAATATACATGGTTTTTATAAAGTTGTTTGGCAACATATGCATTCCCCCATGTAATCACAAATTCAAACATCACTTTTAAGGGCAGCATAACATTTCACTCACTCGAAACCCTATCAGTCATTCAACATACATTTACTGATCATTCACCTTACCCCCAAAACCAAAGTGCACTGGGGAAGACCATCATTCACTTGCTCAATCATCCGAGTAATACTACGTGCCAGGCCTTGTCCTAGCCACTGGGGGACCACAGCGTACAAGATCGGTCACAGGGGACAGGGGACCACAAACAAGTAACCAAGCAACAAAGTACAGGCTGTGTTAAGTGATGAAAGAAGGGAAAAAGTAAACGGTGGAGACCCATTTACATAAGATATCACAACGAACAAGACAGCCCATAAAAGCACACAGTGCAGCATGAGCAGCAGACAATAAAATGATCAGGCCAAGTGCTAAGACATGCTAGAGTAGGCTGCAGTGTTCCAGGATCACAAACTGGGACAGCTAGGAAAACTGCCTGAGGTCCAAGGAATGGGTGAGAGTCAGTTATAGGAAGGGAATGGGAGTAGGAAATGGGAAGAGGTCCAACATAGGCAAGATGCGATCATGTGTATAAATTCTCAGGAAGAGGAAAAGGTTTACATGGCTGAAGCATACCACTTAAGAGAAAAGGGCAGACTGGGGTAGGTGCAGGGTGACCCAACTATCCTGGTTTTAGTGCTCAAAGTCTGGCATCCCAAGAAATGCCTCAGTTGTGCTCAAGTAAACCATGATAGTTGGTCATCCCAGGTAGGAAATGAGGGGGAGAATAGGACGTGGACATGAGCTGAAGAACAAGTCTAATCAAAGCAGTACAACCAGAACAAAGATCCACTGGTAGAAAACTTGAGTGAATTTAGGATTTCAGAGGTAGGGCCATACATGTGGGTATCTGTGAGCAGAGCTTAAAGGCCACTAGTATTCAGTGACCAATCCACCAACAAGTCTTGACTAGCCTCCCTCCAAAACATATCTCAAATCAATCTATTTTTATCTTTTTTGCCACTACCCTGGTCCAAGCCACCATTACCTCACCTGGATTACTGTACTAGCCTCCATACTGAACTCCCTGCTTCCATTCTTCCTGACTCCAATCTATTTTCTACCCAATTGTCCCAAGTTAAGAGCTAAAAAAATGTTCACCAGGTTCCTTTAACCACTGCATACACAGCACCTCGCTAGGGCAATGTCTGAGATGTAAAAGGCATTTAGTATCTGTTTGCTTAATGAATCAAGAACTTATACTGGGATACTGGTAAGTCATCTTCAGGGAAAGACATGGACATCTCTCAGGACAACTTCAGAAGTACAGGCCTGGAAACTGGTACCAAGTTCTCTGGAGAATGAAGAAATAATAGGTAACAGTAGTAAGGAAAGGTGCCTGGGTATCCAGGTAGAGAAAAGCCTGAAAAACAGGGAATTTTATCCTAGAGGAAGGCAGCACCCATCTATCTCGGAGGGCTATTAGACAAAGTACAGGACCTTCCTCAGGAAGAGCCAGATTTCAGTTAAGCCAAGAAGGTAAAAGAAATCTGTTCTGAAAATGGGTTAAAAGTATTTACTTCATGCACTCAACATTTATTGAACATTTTCTTCTATGTGCAGCTAGCATTATAAAATGGTGTTCCAGAATGTACGGTGGGAGGCTCCATCAGGGGAAGGCAACACACTAGAACATGGAGGTGAAATTGCCATAGCGAACTGTTGCTAATGAGCCACTGCTCATTAGATTTTAAGCGACAACCAAGGGTAACAAGGAGTGGTTTCAAGGCAGTAGTACGCAATCTTAGCCACATATTAAAAATCATTTGAGCTCTTTAAAAAAAAAAAATCTAGATGCTAAGGCTACTCCTCTCTCAAGCCAGAATCTTTGGTAAGTGGGATCCAAGCACCAATAATTTTTTTTTTTTTTTTTTTTTCTTATTTTTTTTTTTTTCTTTCTCAGGTGCAGTGAAGTTTAAGAACCATTTTTTTTTTAAGAACCATTTTTTTTTTTAAGATTTTATTTGAGAGAGAGGGAGCAAGCACAAGTGGGTGGGGGCAGAGGGAAAGGGAGAAGACTCCCTGTTGAGCAGGGAGCCCACTGTGGGGCTCCATCCCAGGACCCCGAGATCACCACCTGAGCTGAAGGCAGACGCCCAACTGACTGAGCCACCTAGGCACCCCTAAGAACCATTATTTTCAAGTCTCCAAACATTTGGGGAGCCTATTTCAAGACACCGACCAATCATTGACATCCAAAAATTAATTAATTTGTTCTATTTTTAAGTTTAGAAAAAATTTCCACTGTGTCTCAAAAAGTGATAGTTCTTCAGAAATACATCTAATCCATCTTGCTAGGGTAATTCCAATCTCCCATGATTTATTATTACTAAAAAGCAGAATTTCACTAGGCATATTTCTTAAGACTGGCATTAAATACCATGTCCAGTGTTTTTAGCACCTGGCACACAGTAATGAAAATAGCCATGAATGAAATGATAGGTCCCACTTCAAAGAAATCTGCAAGTTACTCAGAAGTTTTAAAAGGACAATGACGTAAGAAAACGTGGTCACAACCCTATAAATCTTGCAATTCTATGAGAAGTTAAATTCCAAAATACATCTGGTTTTTTTTTAAGATTTTATTTATTTTTTGACAGAGAGAGACACAGAGAGAGAGGGAACACAAGCAAGGGGAGTGGGAGAGGGAGAAGCAGGCTTCCCGAAGAACAGGGAGCCCGATGCGGGGCTCGATCCCAGGACCCCAGGATCATGACCTGAGGTGAAGGCAGATGCTTAACGACTGAGCCACCCAGGCGCCCCCCAAAATACATCTCTTGACACTTGCTTATGGGTAAGGCTATTCTCTATATGAATGATAAAAAGTTGCCATTCACAACTGCCCGACATTACTATCTACTCAAAATTTCTATTCAAATCACAAAAGGACAATTAAACCTAAATGCTAGTTGTTTTTTTTTTTTCAATTTTGACATATCACAATGATAAACACTGTATCTTTAATTTATTTAGATTTTTTTTTTAAGTAGGCTCCACTCCCAATGTGGAGCCCAACACGGGGCTTGAACTCACAACCCTGAGATCAAGATCTGAGCTGAGATCAAGAGTCAGATGCTCCACCTACAGAACCAGCTAGGCACCCCAATCTTTAATTTTACTTTTAAAACTGTGCAAGTTATAGTGACACATCCTTTGAAAAAAAAAATTTAGCAGCAGATAAAACCAAATGTCCCCTTTGACCACTCTCCACAATCCCACTCCTCTTGAGAAAAGTAACCACCAAGAGTATTCTGAGGTACATCCTTTTGAAAGCCTGTTGACAAGTTTTACATACATATTATATGCCTACAAAAACACAATCGTTTTCTTTTGCACTTTTAAACTAGGACCTGTATTATTCAGCAGACTGCCTTTCTCGCCAACAATCCATATTGGAGATCATAATGCATACATATAGGCTTGGTTAATTTCTCACACTGGAGGTAAGAGTAGTCCCTGAGAGATTATTATAATACGGTGAGGGGGAGGATAAAAAGGTAAAAACGCTGCAATGTATATCCTAGTGTTTGCTATCTGGTATACATCTGGTATACATATACAGACACTTCCTGAAAGATACCACGAAGTTGACATATTAGCAGATCTAACAGCTTCTTTTTACGTTGACATTATAAAATTGTCCTCCAAAAAGGAAAGGACACTGTATTTATAAAGTAAACTAAAGTAACTTCTACGTCTGGGAAAGCCAAAGCTCTTTTCTTCTCTTCCTACCAAATTTCAGACCAGAACAATTACAATTAAACTCTGGAGAAAACAGTATTTATTACATATCAGATGGCATCAAGTTTTTTTTTAAGTGTATTTTAACAACAAAAACTCAAGCTTACAAAGAATTTAAGTATACCTTTTTTTTTGGTCTCAACTCAGCTTTCAAAGGATTACTACACCAAAATACACTACCCCAGAACACCAGAACAATAATGGTTGCAGATCTCCTCACTGAAGATTATTTTACAGTCAAGAAAAACTAATCACAGAAAAAGAAAAGTCTGAGAAGCTGTACTATCACAAGGAGTCAGGCCTTTCAAGTCTCAGAAGCACCTAACAGAACCCCTCTATGGGTCACCTAATGGGACCTCTAATAAGTCATCTTTACACTTGATCTTAGCCAAAAGGCTGAGAAGCAATCTAATGAGTCACCCTTTAGAACCCGCAGGCCTTCACCAACCATCAGTTTCTAAGATAGATATACTTCAACTCTCTAGCTTAATATTCAAGGTAAATGGCAGAACCAGATTTTCAAAGCAACTTAATTAACATTAGAGAGGTTTATACTTCTAATAACTACCTTTTCACTTTCTGGTATTCTGATTCCTCTAATTTAAAGCCTCAGGTCACCTGAATTATGCAAAGAAACAAAAGCAAAAGATACACAC